GATTGTGATAAGTAATAGTTTCCATTTTTACTGGGTTGCTAGGACACTGACTACCTAAAAGCACCAGCGTAACCAGCAATCGAGGAGGCAGTCACGTGACCTTCCGATTCTGATTGATTTGTTTATGATCGTATGAGTCATAACAATAGTTTGAGTTAATTACTAATTATTTTTTCAGTATTATACGACCCTTTCTTTTTTTTAAAAAAATTAATTTTCACAATGAAAGAAATAAAACTTAATAAACCTTTAGTTGAAACGAAAGAATGTTCAAGATGCAATGGTGTCAAACCATCTGCAGACTTTCTTGATAATAAAGACATTTATTCTTGTTGCAAAACTTGCCATAACAGTAAATCACAAGCGAAGAAACGAAAAAGGTAAGCTAATGATCATATGACAGAAAAGGAAAATATTTTTGACCTCACAAATATTACAGAACATATCTATAATACATTTCTAAGCAATAAGGATTTGGATGATGATTTCGAAGGATGAACAAGATTTTAGCTTGAGTTTAATATTAATATAGAGTCGATTAATGAAACTCTAATTAATACTGAGCAAAATAAAAATTTGTATATTGCTAACCTAGTTATTAATGAAATTAGTAATGGTGACAGTTATACATATGTACATCAATTTACATATAATAGTAAAAAACAGGATTTTTTGACATTTACATACTGGTGTAATGTGCGAAATGAGTTACATAAGTATCATAAGAAAGTTGATGATGTGTCGAAGTGACGTAGTACTGAAGCATACATTGAACGTTATAATTGTAAAGGTGTGATTACTATCAAAATTAATTTTAAAACCAATATTATACTTGTTAATATATCTCATGATCTTTTGCATTCACGACCTGAAAAGTTCAATATAACAAAAAAAATAAAAGATTATATTAACAATTGTATTCGACAAAATGTTTCTAACATTTACCAATTAATTAAAGACGAACATATTAAAGGATATGAGACTTTAACAATCAAACAAGTGCATTACTGGTGGTCAAAAATGTCACAGGCAGAGTATCGATCTTCAGATTATGAGCTTATTTCTGTAAAAACATATCTTCAAAATCAAAATCAAGAAATTCTTTTTTTTAATGAACATGCATTTGCTTTTGTAACTGCATTTCTTAGTATTTTGCCATTAAACAAATTAATGGAGTTTATGGTAGATGCAATGTATAATACTAATGGGCTCAAATATGAAATGTATAGTGCTATGGTAATTATTGATGGTGCAGGGTTCCCTATTTCTTATTTATTTATATCCTCTGGTAGGAATCGCAACATTACAGGCATTCTTACAACATGGTTTTCTGCACTAAAAACTAAAGGATTAATTAATGTGGGAATCTTTTATACAGATAAAGACATGTCACAAATTAATGCAGCAAAAATTACTTGGGCTGATGTTAAAATACAGTTGTGCTTGTGGCATGTTAACCTTGCAATAGAACAAAAATTATCTTCATATGCAAGAACACAAGTAGTACGATATAGTTCTATTGAGGCACATGGTCAATGTTCTGTAATCGACCCTTTATGGCAGCCGATTATGTCTAATAGAATAAATCATATGAATGTAGATAATAATTGATTAAACTCAAGTCAATTGGCTAATAAGGAAACTCGTGTACAAATAAAATATCTAATAACTAAACATTTTAATTGGCATATGCTTATACCTAATAAGGATAAGAAATTTACAAATAATAAAAACTTAATATGGGTTGAATGTGTTACAGAAATGTACACATATTGTCATAATAATAATTTAATTATGGTATGGGCATATCTCTGGTGTGAGTGGTATTCTCAAAAACAATGGTGTCTTTGGGCACGTTCATCATTTGATTATATTGGAATTTTACGTACTACAATGGTAATTGAATCACATTGGCGATTTTTAAAAAGAAACTACCTTTATAAATTTAACTGTCCCTACTTGGATCTTTTGTGTTTTATTATTATAAAAAAGGTATATAATATATATATGTATAAGTTTATAGTAATTTTATATGTTGGTATTAATTATTTTTTAATAATATGATTTAGGCAATTGCTCATTAAATTAATACATTTAAATTATTGTGTTGTGGATGGCAACTTAATTCATGGTGAAAAGAATTCCAAAAAGAATGGAATTTATTAGCATCACGATCTTGTAACCTTGATCAATATTTAACAAATCATGAGCACTGGTTTTGTTCATGTCCTTACTTTGCAACCAACCGATTTTTTTTATGTAAACACTTAGTTGTTCCAATTGTTCAAAGCCGCATTCATTTTTTTATAATGTATCACTATGCATTTTTATTTTATTTTATTTCTAACATTAATAAAATTAAATCTGAAACCCTTAAAACTAACTTTATTTATATATTTAGGTTTGTTGCAATTCAACATATCCTCTAATTTCAACATTATGAACTAATCCTTGGCAAGAAATACGAATGTATTGCAACCTTGAAGAAAATGATCATGAACACCTAACACTAATTAGTAATTCTATTACTAATATTAATGAAATTACTACAACAAATAATACAAACAAAATAAATGATAAGTCTGTGGACATAGTTGAACAAAAACATATTCAATTACATCAAGTTTTAAATGAGATATAAACTTTTATAATTTATTTAATGTTGTCTTTATAATTAATAGTCTAAATTGGTATTTATTATTGATATTCAGGCACAACGTATTCTCGATGAATCAAGGGTTCTTCATAATCAGCAAAAGTTTCTTGATAACTTCAAAGAAAAGTTAATTCCTCTTAAAAAATTAGTTGATGATATTTTGCACCATGAGAGAAGGCGTACATTACCACAAACGTGGAAGGACAATAATATAAATACCTAATATTATGGATAAAAACTTTGCATGTAATGTAGTGGTTTCAATACCTTGTAAACTTATAACGATAAAGATATAATTTTATTTTGCAAATAAATATGTAATCATCATTATAAATAAAATAATATCAATATATTTGAAATTTGCTATAAAATAATTGAGTCAAATTTTTTTTACTTCGATGCTTGTTGATCACATAATTGGTTGGAGTGTCACGTGACTGCCCTCTTGATTGCTGGTTATGCTGGTGCTTTTCTGACTACCTAGACTGAATTTTTCTTTTAATGTCAGATTTTAAAAAAATGTTGATCCTTGTTTCTATAGTATAATATCTTGAAAGTTATATGACCCAATTGATTATACTGTATGTTTTAAACTTTAACATATCGGCATAGAAATAAGTATAGTGATATGAAGATATA